TCGTCTGGAACACGGCAGATACGCTGATATGTTGGAGAGAAGTTCTGGATAAGTTACTCAGAGGTTTAGGATCAGCTAGACGCCATGAATGATGAGGAGCTGACACTGAACGTCTGTCAACCATCAGATGGCTGACCTGGAACTGACGGCCCTTGGATGGCAGACGCTGGCATTTCAAGCAAAATTTCTCACCGTACTCGCTATATGTCGACGTGTTTCAGGGTGCTCATAACTTACACAACTTGTACCCATAACTTATCCAACGTATTCCAGCGTTTTGGCAAGATTTTTCGTAGGTCAGGCAGACGCTGGTCTAAATCGTCAAGGTGTGACAGGAGCTTTAGTAGAGAGAAACATCCCGCCCAATTCCATTGGAAAGGCCTCTGGATTATTCTCCGTCTGAGTGAGAACCCAAATACAGAATAAAGCCTTTAAAGAGAAAAATAATTTACTCCGATAAAAGAAACAGGACATGAACGCAGCAGGCAACAAAGAGGAGGATTCCAGTAAATACTAGGAGGGAGAGAAAGGTGTGGCAATCAGAAGAGGGCACAGCTGAGGACGATCAAGAACCAAGCTGAGGGAGAGAGAGAATAGTGAGCAAAGGGGGACTGGGAGGAAACAGGGAAGAAAACCAACCTGAGCTGAAGGAAAACCTTAGAACTAGAAATTAAATATCTAACAATCAGAATGGAGAATATAGAAAAGGATGGTCAGAGGTAAAACTGCATCAATTATTGCTAGAATACTCTTCATCTGCTGTTTATTCAGTCTGGTTCTTCCTCTTATTTCATGTTCAGGGAAGCAAAGGAAGCATTGGAGCTGTTGGGCCACAGGGACCAAAGGGAGACTCCTTGATTGGGCCACAGGTAACAGTGGGAGGGGGGGTGAGCAGAGAGCAGCTACAGCAGCAGAGGACACTACATTAACATCTTTATCATTAGGGTCTGCCAGGTTTGCCAGGACTGCAGGGAGAAACGGGACCTGAAGGAAAAGGACAACCAGGAGCAAAGGTAGCTTTGGTTTCTATAGTCTTTCACATCATAGTCTTCCCTGTGCAAAGGGGTCTGCTAAAGGTAACACTAGCAAATATTTATCTACCTATTCAGAAGAAAAATAACACATTTCATGAGGCTCCTGAGGATGAGGATGGAACAAGGAGAAAATGAAAATAAAAACAGCTAAAACGTTTCTATTCCTTTAGGCTCCAAAATTCTGGATCACTCGCACTCGTACTCTTCGTCTATCGCTTTATCCGGAACCGGGTCGCGAGGGCAGCAGACTAAGCAGAGACTCCCAGACTTCCCTCTTCGCTGACACCTCCTCCA